CTCCCCTCCTCCTTCACCACCTTCTTCCGTCTCCCCTTCCTCCTCCACCAGCTTCTCCCTTCTCCCCTTCCTCCTCCACCAGCTTCTCCCTTCTCCCCTTCCTCCTCCACCAGCTTCTCCCTTCTCCCCCTCCTCCTTCTCCACCAGCTTCTCCCGTCTCCCCCTCCTTCACCAGCTCCCTTCTTCCTTTCCTTCTCCCCTTCCTCCTTCTCCACCAGCTTCTCCCCCTCCTCCTTCTCCCCCTCCTCTACCACCTTCTCCCTTCTCCCCTTCCTCCACAACCAGCTTCTCCCTTCTCCCCTTCCTCCTTCCCCACCAGCTTCTCCCTTCTCCCCCTCCTCCTCTCCCAGCTCCCTTCTCCCCTTCCTCCTTCTCCATCAGCTGATCCCCCTCCTCCTTCTCCACCAGCTTCTCCCCTCCTCCTTCTCCACCACCTTCTCCCTTCTCCCCTCCTGCTTCTCCACCAGCTTCTCCTCCTCCGCCTTCTCCACCAGCTTCTCTTTTCTCCTCTAATTCCTCCTTCTCCGCCACCTTTTTCCTTCTCCCCTTCCTCCTTCTACACCAGCTTGTCCCTTCTCCCCTTCCTCATTCTCCACCAGCTTCTCCCCCTCCTCCTTCTCCACCAGCTTCACCCTTCTCCCCTTCCTTATTGTTCACTAGCTTCTCCCCTCCTCCTTCTCCACCAGCTTCGCCACCAGCTTCTCCCTTCTCCCCTTCCTTATTGTTCACTAGCTTCTCCCCTCCTCCTTCTCCACCAGCTTCTTCGCCTTCTCCTTCTCCACCAGCTTCTCCCCCTTCTCCACCACCTTCTTCCTTCTCCCCTTCCTCCTCCACCAGCTTCTCCCTTCTCCCCTTCCTCCTCCACCAGCTTCTCCCTTCTCCACCAGCTTCACCCTTCTCCCCCTCCTCCTTCTCCACCAGCTTCTCCCGTCTCCCCCTCCTTCTTCACCAGCTCCCGTCTTCCTTTCCTTCTCCCCTTCCTCCTTCTGCCCTTCCTCCTTCTCCACCAGCTTGTCCCCCTCCTTCTTCTCCACCAGCTTCTCCCCTCCTCCTTCTCCACCACCTTCTCCCTTCTCCCTTTCTTCCTTCTCTACCAGCTTCTCCCCTTCCTGCTTCTCCACCAGCTTCTCCTCCTCCGCCTTCTCCACCAGCTTCTCCTTTCTCGCCTAATTCCTCCTTCTCCGCCACCTTCTTCCTTCTCCCTTTCCTCCTTCTCCACCAGCTTGTCCCTTCTCCCCTTCCTCATTCTCCACCAGCTTCTCCCCCTCCTCCTTCTCTACCAGCTTCTCCCCTCCTCCTTCTCCACCAGCTTCTCCCCTCCTCCTTCTCTACCAGCTTCTCCCTTCTCCCCCTCCTCCTTCTCTACCAGCTTCTCCCCTCCTCCTTCTCCACCACCTTCTCCTGTCTCCCCCTCCTTCGCCCCTCCTCCTTCTCCACCACCTTCTCCCCTCCTCCCTTCTCCCCTTCCTCCTTCTCCACCAGCTTCTCCCCCTCCTCCTTCTCCACCAGTTTTTCCCTTCTCCCCCTTCTCCTCCACCAGCTCTCTTCTCCCCCTCCTTCTCCACCAGCTTCTCCCCTCCTCCTTCTCCAGCAGCTTCTCCCCTCTTCCTTCTCCACCAGCTTCTCCCTTCTCCCCTTCCTCATTCTTCACTAGCTTCTCCCTACTCCCCCTACTAGCTCCAGGGGCGGCGCCACGGTTTTCAAAGTGGGGGGGCCCAATTGAGAGAATGAAGCGACCATGCCGGGGGGCTGAGATATTGGGGCGCGAAGCGCACGAACGAGGGAGCCAGGCGACCGAGCGGGGGTGGGTGTGGGAGGGGGTTCCCCCACCTCCCACGGCAGGAAGCTTTTCAATTTTTGCACTGAAATGGAGCGATCTGGTGCACATCGAAGGTGAAAATTTCAAATTTTTAAATGGAAGAAAAACGGAAATAACACCTTTTCAGTACATGTCTATGTACATGTCTACTATAGTGAAGTATATAATTTGCATCAATATGAATACATGTAATAGGAATAAAGAATATGAAATAGTGAATCTTTTTCAGGGCGTACAGAAATTTCCATTTTCTTCAACCTGGTAATAGTCAAAAAATAACATTGCTAGCTGAATGATATTTAAACACTTATAACATCACTCGACTAGCTTTTAACTTTAATTATGCATCAATATGATACATGTAATAGGAATAAGGAATATGAAATAGTGAATCTTTTTCAGGGCGTACAGAAATTTCATTTTCTTCAACCTGGTAATAGTAAAAAAATAACATTGCGAATGATATTTAAACACTTATAACATCACTCGACTAGCTTTTTATCTTTAGTTTATCTTCATGTTGCTGACAACAGTTTGCCTTTTAAAAACCCAAGCTGCTAGGATATTACATAAAGAATACATCAACTGTTTAATTAAAAAGACTTAAGAACTAAAGTGCAACTAAACTAAAAGAATAAAAGAAACTATATAAAATAGTATACATAAAACTAACGCTCATAGGGTCTATGTCCCCCAGGTTACTGCCGGAACGTACCCTGAGTACGGCCGGGTTACCGGCTCTGGCGTTATCAGCGTGCGTTAGGCTCTGCGTGCTGCGCGTACTTAAGCTGTGCGTACGCGGCGTAGTTGCAGTTATAAGACAGTGTGTGCACAGGCCGTAGCCAGCTTTATATGGGGGGGGGGGTTCGTTTTTTCAATGTTTGTAATTTGCTCGGCAGGGACAGTACAGGATTGTACCAGGGGGGTCTAACCGTAACACAAAGTTACGAGCATGCGAAGGGGGGGGGTGTGGGGGCCCTCCCCCTAGAAATTTTTTAAAATTACACCCCCTCAGATGCTTTGCTGCGCGAGCAAGGGGGGGTCCGGACTCCCTGCACCCCCCCCCCCTGCTCGGGCGCGAAGCGACCAGGCGAGGGAGCAAGCGACCGAGCGGTGGGGAGGGTGTGGGAGGGGGGTGTTCACTTTCACCCTCGCCGCACGATGAAGATTTTGCAATTATTACACTAAAATAAGCGACCTGAGGTGAAATCTTTGCAAATTTAAAAAAAAAAATTTTTGCTTGGGGGGGGGGCTCGGGGGGGGGGGGGGTTCGTTCGAACCGCCCGAACCCCCCTGGCTACGGGCCTGTGTGCATATGCAAGTACAGTACTGATATTCGACCTCGATCGAGCCTCCGAAGCACAGGATACAGGCCCGAAGTCCGCACGGTATTGGCGGCAAATAACGGCGCTGTGCATGTCTGTTTGCTATAAGAGTAAGGCTAGAGGGACTTCGTCAAACTTTTGTAATTTTCAGTAGGCAGATGAAAATGTGGATAACACTCTCTTTCGCTCTTTCCCCTTCCTCTCCTCCTTGTTCCCTCTTTCTTTTTCTTGCATTTCTTTCCGATCATACAAAATACATAGACATATATTTTCTGCCAAAAAAGTGGGGGGCCGGGCCCCCCCGGCCCCCCCCCGTACGCGCCGCCCTGAGGTACTACTCTAAACTTCCTCCCCCCCCCACCTACACTGCTCCTATCCACCTGTACCAGAACTACGAGAGTGCTGACGCTGTTCCACTGATACGGCCGAAACGCGATAGACCGCGTAGCGCCTCTGGCTGTGGCGTTTGCCAAGTTAATTTACGATCGCTTAAACTAGATTTACCCATAGATTTATACAACTCTATGTGTTTACCACAAAGTAACTGGAATACTGAGATTTGAAACGCACACAATCTACTCAAATACACCAAATTCATTATGCCATCCAGACTCCAGAATTTCCCTACAGTATGTTATCTAAGATTTAACATGTAAATAATGGTACCTACAATTTATATTGCCTCAAAACTTGCAGTTGTATTTTAAGCAGTCAGTCTGTAATGATTGCTAGTGGCCATTTTCTAGCCTTTCTTCCATATAGTGGCGCCATCTATTGGCGAAGCGTGAAACTAAATAGTCTGCAATAAGATTAATTAAAGGGACAGTAGCCTCTAGGATTTTACTGCATACAACTGTACTTACTGTATAACAAATCGTCTATATACCCACATGTATTTGTCACCAGATACTTAATTAATTATTTACACATCAACGCTACGAAATTTGAACGGCGCCATGACACCCGTGACCGACGGACCGTGCTGCCACCCTAAAAAAGTTGCGTATTTGCATTTTTATTTTGCAGGTAATGACGAGGGCTAATCACAAAAGTGCAATTACTATATTATACCTAAATGCTATTTAACCCGAACGATATTCATTTTAGGGCAAATTTATCCATATTATACTGAAACTATATGTCGTTTATAAGATAATTACAATCCTTTGCTTTTAAATGAATAAATAAGAAATACCCTCGGTCTGTAGCCCTTGGCTGGAAAGTGGTTTGCGCAACTTCTCAGGATCGTGCGCTTTGAGTGGCGCCACCGTCGTTGTACCAAACTGCTATCCGTTAGTTTTAAAAGCATTTTTTTAAAT